GGGCGTCCAAATGCAAGGGTCCAGCGGCCTCCCTCAGCGGCGGGGGGTTATCCATAACCTAGGGGCTGCTGAAGGTGCCCCGGTCGGCCACGCGCAGAGGGGGGTATGGGGAGGGGGGAAGTTTTCTTCGAAGCACCCCTGCTTCTTAGAGGCGTGGAGGTCATCTATCGTTAACCTGGGGGTCGCTGAGGGTTCGAAGAAGAAAAATCGCCATGAACATAAACCTCCGGCGCTCCACACGGATTTCTTGGATCCGCGCTGGGCCCCCCTCTGGCGGCGCCTCCGGCACCGCCCCTGGCGCGTTCCGCGCGTCGGGGAGGGGGGTCCAGGGCGGATCCAAGGAATCCGCGCGGACCGTCGAAAGTTTATATTTATGGATTTTGTTTTTCCTCTGCATAACTCGGTGGTTGCTGTAGGTGCCCCTGGCCCACGGTGCAACCAGCTTGTCGCCCCATTTTTGAGCCCCTGGGGACCTCTGTCGAGGAACATAAACGTAAACTGTTGGCGCTCCGCGCGGGTGTCTTGGCTCCGCGCAAGGGCACCCCGGCGGCGCCTCCAGCGCCGCCCATGACGCGCTCCGCGCGCCAAGGAGGGGGGTCCAGCGCAGATCCCAGAAATCCGCGCGGAGCCCCAAAAGTTTTTGTGTATGGCGTTGTTTTTTCTTATATGAAGGTGCCCCTAGCCCAAGGTGCCCCCAGCTTGTCGCTCCATTTTTGAGCCCCTGGCGCCCTCTGAGCCTCGTGAGGGGTGCTCTGGGGGCCCTCGTGGCCTCCTTGGAGATCCTGGAAGTGCGTTGAGCCAGGGGTACTTTGACAAACACCCGAGTAATCACCGCCTGTGGGATCGATCTTGGCGAATCTCCGGGAGCTGTGGATATGCCGCAAACCCAGGATAATGAAGCATCCCCCCTTCCCATTGTATCTCTTGATCCGCAGGATTGAGCGTGGTTCAACTGAAACAGCAGGCGGGGAGGCCGAACTGTACAGTCGGGGCGCTGAAGAAGGAACCCTTTTCGTTGGGGAGCCGCTCCGTGTTCCTTAAGTGTTTCACAGCTTGCCTCAGGTGTTCCTTATGTTTTCGACGGGAAATCGAAGTTTAACCCATGGAAAAAAGGGACCTCGTTCCTTATTTGTCGTTCCTTAGGTCAACGCCCCGACGGTATCCCCTGCGGATATCTTGGATCGGCGCTGGTCCCCTTGGCGTCGCCTTCCGCGTCGCCCTTGGCGCGCTCCGCGCGCCAGCGAAGGGGGCCCATCGCAAATCGGACACATCTGCGTGGACCCATCAGCACTTTCTTGTCACGGTCCCTAACAATCGGAGGTGGATAGACCTCCTACCCTGACACGTCGATTGAGGAATTGGCCGTTTTCGGTTCGCGAGAGGGCGTCGCGGCCGTCATTTTTGCGGGTCCAGGTCCGTCGGTTTCGGTCCCAGGCCGTTTTCACTAAGGTGAGGTTTACTAGAGGGAGGTTTGTCCACCGCCGAAGCAACGGTACTGCAGTTTGTTTGTCGTTGTCTTTGTTGTCTTTACGGCCACTGTCTCTACCACCAAGGGTCACATTGTCCTTGCAATTGCCTTCTTGACCTTAGTGGGCCCTGGAAACGACAGGGCCGTTGTTTTACCGGTTCCGTTTTGCCGTTTTTGTTGCCGGTTCTGACGCCGTTGTTTTACAGGTTCCGCCGCCGTTTTTTTACCGGTTCCGGCTCCGGTTCCAATCCTGGAGCCGTTTCTGTTTGCCGTTTCCGGTCGCCGTTTTTTTGCCGTTCCCATTTTCAAGGGACATTTTTTTGGAAACGGTGAAAAAACGGCCCTGCCGTTTCCGGGGCCCACAAAGGTCCCTAACAACGGTATTGCAGTTTGTTTGTCGTTGTCTTTATTGTCTTTACGACCGCTGTCTCTACCAAGGGTCGCTCTCCTTGTCCTTGGAAGTGTTTTCTTGACATTGTCACAACGGACAAGCTGCAGCTTGTCTTTTCTTTGACCAGCGCGCTCCACCGTTTCGGTCGTCCGGGGGCCGTCGCCGGGCCCCCGGAGCATGGGAGAATCGACCCATGAGGAACGACCGTGCCCGTGGGGGAGGTTACACTGTGGCGCTTCAGTGCAAAAGCCGATGCGCCGGATCCCTCGACGAACGAACACATTCTTGTCGGGCGATCGCAAGCATGGATCAAGGGGGTGTAAATTAGCGACGGGTCCCGTTTCCATGGGACATCGCGGATTTCCGCCGCCGAGTGAGGCGGGACTGGCCGCACCTCGGGGATGGAAGCTCCCCCGATCCCATGGTTGTGGCGACCGCGCGCCAAGTCCATGGATCGCTGATCCATGCTTGCGTGCCCCCGAAGATCTCTCGACGAACGAGGTTTAGGGTTTAGAGTCCACTAACCCAACTTTGAAGCCTGTTGGACGTGTCCCTCCCACCCATGACCCAATACATATTGATTTCAAAACGACACGACGATACCGACGACGGAAACGACGGTATTAATTTCAAAACGACGACGACGACCACAATCGCGCAAAGTCTTCTGGGAAGCCGCTGCAACGGCGATGCGGCACGCGCGCGCGGCGACGCGAGTTGAAGAACAACGTATATTAACGCGACTCCCTGTGCATCGCAGGGACGCCGCCCAGCGGCGGTGAGATTGCGTGGAGTGGCTGCGCAACGAGCGCGGGATAGCTCGTTGCCTCGTTGAGACGGATCCCCAGTTCGCATCCTTAGCACTGCGGCGCGGTGCGCGAAGGCCGATGCAAGGGCGATGCGATGCGCCCACGCGAACCGACACAAACGAGTAGCTCCCCGCAGCAACTGACCGACACCCTCGCGATGCATACCCCGGCTTGCAAGGATCTGCGTGAGGGGCGCGCCCTGGGATTGGCAAAAGCTCTCAGAACACCATTCGTGGCCCTCCGAGGGCACGGATCTGCTTGAGGGGCGCGCCAAAATAGGAGCGCGCGTTAGGGGGCCCGTGAGGGCGGCTCAAGGTATCTTAGGATTTTCATATTTATAGGTTCTCGAAGAAGCCCAGCGGCAGAGAGCGGCGGTCGAGGAGGGGAGGGTGTATCAGTGGCGACGATAGGGGGGGAATCGGGCACAGGGGGGGGGCGCAGCCACCCCCAATCGCCCCTTGATCGCCGATGGGGGCCCGGCAGCCCCCACCTGCCCAGTAAGGTGCGGATTCCTTCTCGTAGGCTTTTCGCGGATCCATCGGCGCTGTGTCGCCGCTTCCAGGTCGACGCATCCCCCCCTCCTATATGCGCCAGTCCCCCACCTATGTCGTTGCCCCTCGGAGAACGGGGGCGGGGCGGCACGCCGTTTGCGCGAGGCGAGCGCGCGCAGCACCGCGCGCCAGCTTGCCGCGCAGCCGCTATGCCCACAGGGAGGTCAGCGGGAGGCTGGCTGGTTGTGGGCGTGGTCGGAGGCGGCTAAGAGGGGGGTGGTGAAACGGTGTGTGTGTGTGTATCGTGGCGGGGGCCTCTGATAATCATGTCCCCACATACCATGGCGTCTTGCCTTTTTTTCATACGTCCCTGGCCCCCCCCTGGACCGCACACATGCCGCCGGCTATGATTTGTGCCCCCCCCCGCCCCGCTTGGACGCCCCCCTTTGGCCGCCCCCGACCATAGGGAGGCTTGCTGGAGGAGGACTGGCTATGGGTATGGGTGTGGGTTGTCGGACCCATGGGGAGGCTCCCGTTCGAGCGGGGACCCACATTCGACCACACGCGCCCGTAGCACCGTCCAACCCACTCCTTTATGGGTATGGGTTTGTGGCCTTTCACCTCTGGGAACGCAATGCCGCACCGTCGCTGACTTGTCAGCCGTGCGCAAGTATTCAGGAAAGGAGGGCCACTTGAGACAAGTGCGCTCTTCCGCCCAGATCAAATCCGGTCAGGTTTCGTCCATGGACCCCTCCTGGGCCCATCCTGACCCGTCTGTCTTGGCGGATCCAGCCGTGGTGACGAGAAGCCTCCAGGAGGCAGAGACAAGTCCACTGGCCGTGCTTCGAAATTGTCGCCCCACAGTGCACAGACGTCCTGCGCTTTACGATGCCGGAGCGCGCTGTGACTAAGATTTTCGCAGGGTGTTCTTCGAGAGCGGGATCGACTACAGAATTGTCTTTCCCCAAACTCGATTCCCTCGCCGAATCTACAAGGACGACGTAGCTTTTTTTTTGCACGGGCTCGACGAAGAAACAGTCCTGTGGTGAAGCAGTTTTGTTGTCGACCCACGACTCGAATTCCGGCCGAGGCGACAAGAGCCCCTCCAGAAGGACCCCAAAGTGCAGGCTCCAGGCCGCCTTCTCCCCCCACAGGATCCTATAGGATCGCATGGGATTTCCATACAATCCCCAGAGGATTCCTCCAGGATCCTGTCGGATCGCATGGGATTCCTATACAATCCCCGGATTTCTGGCGGGGAGGACCGTTCACCTAAATTCGCATGCGGGCCCCAAGACTATACACTACCACCACGTCGATTCCTCCTCCCCCCTCTGCCCTCCTATTCCTTTTCGTGAGGGAGGTGGTGTGTTTGGGCCCCGTATTGTAGGCTCCAGAGCTCACATCCCCTTCTCTGGGGGCCAGCTTTCCTCCCAGATCGTGCTCCGACGGTCCCGGACGCAGGAGATGACCCCCGCGGGGCAAGAATCGACGACACACCCTCAGGATTCACGACCAATTTATGATCGTTTTTGTATTCACTGCTTTGCCGATCGGCGCGGGCCCTCGCACCCCCCCATCCCCCCCCCCCCACCTGGAGTATATCTTGGCTCTTTTTCGGCGCCTGCTTCGAGCAGGCGGAGTCTCCCCAGTACGACGCACGGTTGCAAACAGACGCAGTGAGCCCCCCCCATCCCCTTCCCTTCCGCCCAATGTCGCAACGCCCAACAAGAAAACGCCCGCACTTACGACCAACTCCTGCCACACGCCATAGGCTAGGGCCTCTGCCAGCGTCTACTCTTCCCCCTGGCCTCCTTCTTGGTGCTCCTCCGGAGCGCGAGGAGCTGGGCCTGGCGCCCATGAAGTGCGTGGTGCTGGAGGACCCCCCCCCCGCGCGAGGCTGTCTCGGAGCGAGGGGCAGGGAGGCCGGGCCGGCGAGAGGAGGAGTTCGACGAGAGGCCCGGGGATCGGGCCGGACGAAAGGGGGGGATTGGGAAAGGGGGGGTTACGACATTTGCTGCATGCAGCAAGTTTCGGCCCCACCGAGTGGCCCATTCCTCGATACATAGCCGCCTCCGGCGCCAGGAGGCGCCGGGAAAATCAGCTACGTGAGCTGATTCTCACCCCCCTTCTTTGCTATCCCCCCCTTTCGCCAGACCCGAGGGGAGGCGGAGGACAGGTCGAGGAGAAGGAAGAGGAGGAGGAAGAGAGGCATTGTCGGCGAGCGAGGGGGGGAGTGAGAAGGAGGAGGCCCTGTGAGAAGGCGGCGGGACTTCTCAGGAGCCCTCGCGCCTTTGAGAAGTTGTCTTTATCTTCGGAGAAGGCCCAGAAAACTTCTCAGAAGGCCGGGGAGCCTCCCAGCCTGCGGAGAAGGCCCGCCCCTGCTCACGTCCACCCCCCCCCGGGCAGCTGCCCACGTTGAACCCTCGAAGGGACAGAGAGAGGTCGACCCCAGGCGAGTTGGTGCTGTGTCCTGGAGCACACTGGCCGCCAGGACTGATACTGACAAGGGGCCTGCCTGGCACCGCTGAAAGCACCATCAGCGGCACCGGGCGACCCTCGCAAAGAGTTTGCAAGCTGCCAATGTACGTGCTGGCACATTTGGCGCTTTGGTGTACAGATGCGTTGCGGTGCACAGGCATTGTGGTTTGCACAGACTTTGCGGTACGTATGGTGGCTGTGTGGCGCTGTGGTGTACACAAGCGTCCTGGTGCCCGCAGGCTATGTCGTGTACACGGGTGCCGTTGCGCACACGGCTGATGCAGTATACACATGCATTGCGGTTCACATAGGCGACGTAATGTTGCGGTGCACGCGGCTGTTGTGGTAGACGGTGGCATTGTGGTGTACACAGGCGGCGCTGTGTTGCACGCAGGCACTGGGCATTCATTGCCGTATGCACAGGGGTTGTGTGATGCACAGGTGATTGATGCGCCAGTGGCGCGGAAACACCCTGGCGGGTGAATGCCGTGGCCGCCGTTATTGCTACCTTCCCGCCCGACTCCCCAGGGTAACGACCGTTACCCCGGAAAGAACATTGCCACATGACCCGCGCACAGGTGGTGATTGTCAATCAGAGGAAACTTGCACGAGCGTAAGAAATATCAACAACACATGAGGCGAAATGCCTGGCCCGACCTTCCACCAGGACTCGGGGTGCGACCAGGAGGAGTTATGTATAACGAACGGAATCGAGGAGGAGGTGGAGTTCCAGGTGGGGTAGGCGGATGACATTGAGGGGATGAGGGGGAGGAGAAGGAGGACGTGCAGGATTTCGAGGTGTGGCAGGGGTAAGCGGAGGACAGGGGGTGCAGAGGAGGAGGAGGAAGAGGAGGAGGAGGAGGAGAAGGAGGAGGACGAGGAGGAGGAGGAGGAGGAGGAGGGGGAGCAGGAAGAGGAGGAGGAGGAGGAGGAAGAGGAGGAGCAGGGGACAGGGTAATCGGAGGACAGTGGGGAGAGTAAGGAGGAGGAAGAGGAGGAGGAGGAGGAATTCGAGGTGAGGGAGGCGGAGGTGGAGGAGAGCGGTCAACGAAACGCACGAGGAAGGCAACAAGATGAGCGGCGTCGAACAGCCAGAATGCATGCCAGTGCGCTCGCCTACCCCGCAGACGCTGGGCCATCAAGTTTCTCGTGAGCTTGAAGCGTGATCGCGTTCGATTCTGTGTTCGGTTGCGTTCGGAAGGTGTGCCCAGCCTCGACCACGGGAGGCTCGGACTCTTTGGTCTTCCTGGGAAGCTTGCTGGCGGTCTCGGGGCTCGTGCTGGGGCCGGGGCCTCGCACTGTCGCCTCGCGCTCCCCCCTCTCGTGGGCCGCTCCCGGGGCCTCTGCTCGGCCGTCCGGGGCGCCTCGCCGTCCGCCGGGGGGCCCTCCAGAGCAGCCTTGGGCGCCACGTCGTGGAGCTCCGGCGAGGGCATCTGTACACCACCACCGTGCCAGGCCAGGGCCATCCTGGGCCTTCGGATGGCCCTGGCTCGGCACGGTGGTGGTGTACAGGTGCTTTCTGCGTGCGAGCACTCTTCGCGCAGAACACGCCCTGGCCACGACGTCCCGAAGTCTCTCCAGCGGGACCGCGCCAGAGACACCATGGATGAATCAGCGGCAGAGACATGCCGAGGCTCCCCGCCCGCCCTGTCTTGGGGACCTCCTGGGCCGTCTTGGGCACCGCTGAGACACAACCAGCACGTGGAGAACGGATGGGGTGGCCGATTCTTCGCAGGTCTGTTGGACCGCTCGCGCTTGCGCAGGCCCCCCCCCCACGCGTCTTCCGCCTAGAGCCTCGGCGCACCGCAGGACACCAACATCGGTGTGCAGGCGGGGAGGGATGCTGGCATGAACGTGATCGCCACCAAGAGCTTCTACTCCAAGGAGACGCCGCCGAGCAGGGCAGACGACGCTGCAGGGTAATGATCGGAGGGTCGAGGAACACAAACTGGCGTGAACATGAACATTCGGGGGACCGCGCTGAATTCTTGGATCGGCGCTGGACCCCCGTCCCTTGGCGCGCGGAGCGCGCCAGGGTGATGATCAGAGAAGGACAGGCAGGGAAAACCGAGCAGTGCAGACGATGCTGCAGCGTAAAGTTCAGAGGAAGGAAACCGTACCGATACCGCTACACTTCCATCGTTTTCGCCTGTCAGCACCTCGTGGGAGGCCCTCTTGGCCACGGCTGGATTGGCCTCGAAATGATGGGAGAGGTCCAGGGAGCAGCGGTGTCGGTGTCGCTTGTTTTCCCGAGAAGTGACCGAGCAGTGCGAGGGGCCCCTCCTCCGGGAGGTTAGCACACGACAGGCGATCGGACGATATCTACCGAGATTCAGCGCGCGCGCTGTTCCCCCCCCCCTCCCCAGGAAATATGCAGCCAGCGTAGCCCCTCTGCTTTCTGGGCGCCCATGTTTTTTCGGAGGCCTCACCGTCGTTGCGCAATCGAGCGTACTGACATACTCATCCCCACTCGAAGCTCCTCTGTTCCAGATTTTTGTTGACCGGCCGCGCCGTGAATCCTCGATCTCGTGGAGAGCTTGAGCCCTCTCCTCTCTTCTCGAAGCACAGCTGCTCCAGCATTCGGTGCAAGCGCCCACCTTTTGGCGTCGACGCCGCGCGCGCACTGGCGCGGCGCAGGTGGGGCCAGGAGGGCGCGCGGCCTGGCCCAGCCCACGCGGCGTGGAGGCGCCAGATCGACCCGCAGGGGACCGACGGCAACGTTCGCGGGAGGGGGGCAGCCGCGACCGGAGGGACGGGGGGGGTTGATAGTCCTCCTACCCTGACACGTCGATTAGTGGATTGGCCGTTTTTGGTTCGCGAGAGGGCGCCGCGGCCGTCCTTTTTTGCGGGTCCAGGTCCGTCGGTTTCGGTCCCAGGCCGTTTGCACTAAGGGGAGGTTTGCTAAAGGGAGGTGTGTCCACCGCCGAGACGGGGGGAGGGCAGGGGAGAGGGCGGAAGGAGCGGGGGGGGCGAGGGCACGAAGGCGCAGTGCGGCAGCGACAAGAGGGTGCGACCGCCCGCGCGTCGTCGCATCCTCCTCGCCGAGCACTCGGGCAGCTGCCCCCCTCCTCGGTGCGAGCACAGCTGCTGCGGCATCCAGCGTCAGCGGCCCGCCCTGCTCCCGCGACGCAGACTTCGGGAGGCCGATTGGTCTAGTCCTCGATCGGGCATGTCCCTTCTACAGGAAGAGCATTCAAGAGTAGTAGAACGTCGTCTCGGGATGATTGTTGGTTTTCCATTGCTTATGTTCGAGCGTGTCTTCACTGTTTCTTGGCTTTTGCCCAACATCCGCATGTAGGAGGACATGCCCGACCGAAGTCTAACCCTGGCGTTCTCTGTCAATCTCGGCCCCTGAGGCTTCGACAGTTACTTTGAGTTCCAGGGGCTCCAAAACTACGCATCGCACCTGGATCCTCGATCCTCGCTCTCCCCCCTCCCCTCCCCCCTATGAGCAAGGACGAAGACTTTTCCGGCGCAGACATCGTCGTCGACAGTGCAGCGGAGGCGCGGGCAGCGAAGGGAGGGGGACCAGAGGGCCCAGCCCTCTTCTTGCGCGAATTCATGTGTATGTAGGTACATATATGGATGTATGCATACATATACATATTCATACATATATACACCTATATATAATTATACATATATATGTGCATGTGTATATAAATATGTATACATGAATGTATGTATGTATGTGTATATATATGCGCATATACATGGGAGACAGTGTGTGTGCACGCGCGTTCACTATATAAGACATCCGCCCTGCCCGCGCGCAGGACCGCGACGCCAAAACGTGTGTGTGTGTGAGAGTGTGTGTGTATCTGTGTCTGTGTGTGTTTGTCTGTTGTTTCTTTCCCCCTTCAATCATTCGCTCTATCCCTTCGTGGAGAGCGTTTCGATGTTAAAAGTTTCTGGATGTTTCTGATGTCCCTGGGGCTTCTGGATGCCTCTGTGACCTCGGGAGTCTCCGGGGCTTGCTAGGGATCTTGAGAGTCCTCCAGATACCACCCGACAGGGACGCGAAGCGGTTCTCTTTCCTCCCTCCCTGGTCCCCCTCCCCCACAGCACTGCTCAAGCAACCCTCTCTCTCATCCTGCCTCCTCCTCCGCCTCCTCCTTCTCCATCACCCTGGTCACCCACGCGTCCCTTGCCGTCCCTTCCACCCTCTCCCCTCCCGTCTCCCTCGCCGTCCCCATCCCTCCCCTTCCACTGCTGCAGCGCAGTGTGCTACGGACCTGCGCCCCCCAGGGCTGGTCCTGGGCCGGTCTCGCTGGTGGGCATTCTGCTGATGGGGGTGTCGTCCACCCTTGGTGCTACACTGAAGTCGGGCATGTCCCTCTACAGGAGGAATATTGGAAATTTTCAAACATTTCTCGCCTATTTTTGACCATTCTGGACTTTGTTTTGACTATTTTTTATTTTGCTTCCAAAATCCGCCTGTAGGAGGACACGCCCGACCTAATGTTACATTCGCGGATTCTAGTATGCTTTGCAGTGGGGGTGCGCATCAAGCCACCATTCGCTTTTCGTCAGGGTATCCTGTGTTTCTTCGCTCCGGGCGCTGCGCGGTGACCTCCCGCACCCGTGGAAGGAGCTGCTGCGTTCAGGGTGCTCCAGGTTTCCCCTCAGGTGTAGCTCGCGCGCGGGTTTTATGGTTGTATTTCTTGCGATGGTTTCTTGCGGCCGCGCCCGCACTGTACGCAGGCGCCTTCCTATCTCAAGGGTCGAGCGGCTTTCCGTCGTCCTTCCACGTTGAGGGCGCGGACGGAAGCCCAGTCTGCTCTCAACGCCCGCGCGCTTCATGCTTTTGTAACCTGGCCTAGGCACCCCGCCTGCAGCAATGACGTGTGGATTCAGTCGGCTCTTCGTCGTGCCCCTCCTCATCTTCCCTTCCTGTCTCCACGGCAGAAGCGCTTCATGCATCGGTCCAGTCTTTTCCGAGCGACCAGAGATTAGCGACGCAACAGGGGCCATTTGCGTCGACTTTGGCCGAAGCTGCCCGCGTCGTAAGGTCGCGCGTGAGCGCCATCGTCTCCAATGCGGCGTGCCGCGCTGGCGGCCCACGTAAGCCGCCGCGTAAGGTCGCACATCGTCTCGTGTAAGACCCGGGGCTCTTTTCTCGGAAATTGGAACGTTTACATTACCAGTGGCGGGCTGTTCTTCGGTCCCAGGACTCTTGAGGGTCGGAGACGACCTCGAGGTGGTGTGGTGTATACCTTTTGCGTCTTGTGTTCCCCCGGGGAACACAACGAAATAAACATGCATACACCAGGATCCCGCATGCACCAAGAACCGTCTTTTCAGAACAAAAAGCTTCGACTTATAGATCGGCGGCGAGCGTGGGGGGGAAGTGAGAAGGGGTGGGCCTTTTCAGAAGGCTCAGAAGTCCCTGGGCCTTCTGAGAACTTGTCGAAGCCTCCCCCGAGAGCACAAGAAACTTCTCAGAAGGCGCGAGGGCTTCTGAGAAGTCCCGCCGCCTTCTGAGAAGGCCTTCCCCTTCTCACTTTCCCCCCCTCCTTCGCAGCCAACTAGAGATCGGTTTCCTGTATTAGTCGCCCAGAGGTCGCCCGACCAGTGGTCGACTCTCTCCGGTGCCGCGCCGCCCTGCAGCTCGGGCGGGGCGCGCTTGAAGGAGCAGCGACCCCCCCCCCCGCCTCGGGCCCCCCGTCTGCGAGAGGGCTCCCGGGGCGCAGATCAGCACCGCCGCAGTCGGCAGGGCTCGTTTCGACCCCTCCGATTCGATCCGATTCGTTCTCGATGGAGTCCGATTCCGAATCGATTCGACTTCGGATTCCGATTTGGGATGCGATGTCTCTATGAAGGCCTACGAGCCTGCCGATCTCCGCCGATTCGACTTTTCCCGACTCGGCTGACGATTTCCGCCGGTCCGATTCATTTTGATTGCAGATCCGACTTATCGATTCGATTCGATTCTGGGCTCTCTTGAATTGGGCCTCGCGTCATTCGGCGGCGAGCGAGGGGAGGGGAGTGAAAAGGAGGAGGCGTTCTCAGAAGGCGGCGGGACTTCTCAGAAGCCCTCGCGCCTTCTTAGAAGTTTCTTGTGTCTTCGGGGGAGGCTTCGACAACTTCTCAGGAGGCCCGGGGACTTCTGAGCCTTCTGAGAAGGCCCGCCCCTTCTCACTTCCCCCCCGGGCGCGCCGCCTAGTAATGGGGGGGGGCTCGTATTACGGTAGAGGGAAACAGTGAGTGGACATTCCTTTATCCCCCAGATTATTTAATCGCTTCGCTCATGCCGCCGGCCCTGGAGCCCTCTTTAGGGCCTCTTGGGGACCTCTTGGGAGTCTCTTGGGGCTCCTTGGCGGCGTTTTGGAGGCCCCCAGGGCCTCTTGGGGGGCTCTTGGGGGTAGTCGATTGCGGCTCCCCCCTCGGAGGCCACGATCCTCGTGAGGGGTGTCGAAAAATACCCTCCCCTGGAGTGGTCTGGTGGCTTCTCCCGGGCTTCTCTCGGGACCTTGCCGGGGTACTTTTCGTCCGGGGGCCCCAGGGGCCGCTCCGCGCGCGCGAACTAGAAATATTGTTAACAAGTTACCGGAGATCTTAGCACGCCTCTGGCCCGTTGGGCCGATTATTCAAAAGTTGGCACGCGCGGGGCAGACTGCGGTCGAGGTGCAACTCATGAGGCCCACGGCCAACTTGGAACATTGGGGGGAGGGGGGAGGCGATGATCGACGGATGTGGCATGCGTGTTGAGCATTTTTGCCCGAGGCCTGAAGAAAAGGAGCCCCGCAGGGGCCCTCCAGGGCCCAAGGGCGGGCCTGTAGCTTCCGAAAAGCGAACCGTTCTTCCCCATTCATCGGCGCCCGATTCAGCGCGATTCCCACCCCTCATCGTGGAAGGGAGACAGGGCGACGTAGTCACCAACTCTCGAAGCCCCGCGCGGATGCTCTGGATTGGCGCTGGGGCGCGCCACTCTGGCAGAGCGCCCGTCTGCGGACTGGCTTCGCGCGACCGGAAAGAAGAACGCGTGCGCATGCTTTGATGCCAAGTAGCAGAGCGGCCATCCGCGAATGAGAGGAGGAGCAGCGAGTGCAAATGCTTTGAGGCCGATTGGCAGAGCAGCTCTCCGCTAATGAGAGCCTTGGCAGGGTTGAACTCCATGATCCAGCTCCAACGCAACCTGCAGTACCCAAGGGACCTGAGGATTTTACATTTTGTGGCACGACGGCGCATATGGGGAGGGACTCAACATCCTGATATCTCGATTTCGGTTGGGCGTGGGCACGGCGGAGATGGGACTCGACTTCTTGACATAGGGGCTGGGAGGGATATTTCACCGTGGTCCTCTCGAGATGGTTAACACGCTATCGAGGTGCCCCTTACATCGAGGTACAGGTGGCAGTGGCGCTCGTCTCCAAGTGCCACGTGGCTCAGGGTCTCGAGGCGGACCCAGCTGCGGCGACCAGGGCCGCCCCCAAGGAGGCCCAAACAGATGCCAGAAGCGTTAACGTCAGTTTGGTCACGTCTCCCCTTGCGTCCTTTCCTCTTCCTGCCCTCCTCTGTTCTAGGCTTATGATGTTCCAATCTACTTTAGCTTTGTTCACCAGGAAGAATTTTGAGCACCTAGGAAGTACCGAAACTTGAGGGTTTTCACGTGTCGGGCCCTGGGAGACACTCGTTCGACACTTTTTCGATGCTGTTTCGACACTGTGTCGACATGTTCGACACTTTTCCGGGTGATCGAAATTATGTCTGGGATGTGGTCCTTGAGCACGATGGGGGCAGCATAATTCTAGGCATCTCAGATGGGGTCGGAGTAGATGGCGTCGGAGGATGGCGCCGCATCGCCGAGGCATCGGCGATGCGGGTCGATGTGGAGGCAGATTTTCTCCACGCCGATGGCGCCCATGCATCGCCGACGTCGCCGATGCATCGCGGGTGCATCGCCGACACATCGCGGATACGTCGCCGATATATCGGCGATGCGGCGCGTTCCTCCAACCCCATCTACTCGGACCCCATTTAGGAGGCCTCTATCTGTTCTCTCCTCCTCCATCCGATTCTGGGCAATTCGGCCACGTTGGCAGGACGCTGGCCTGCGCCTCTTGCGTTGCGCCTCTTCCCGATCGCCTTGTGGTCATTGGCCTCACCATGATCGATGCCTGGAGGTGTCCGCTTCCTTTTTCCCCCCTCCAGACTTGCACTGATGAGGCCAGACGCGTCCCCTCCCTCCTCCCCCTCCTTCCTCCCCGACGTCCTGCCAGCAGGTCGACTTCGGGCGGAGGGTGAGCTCGCTGCTGCCGCAGGCCATGTTCGCCTGAGCCGCGCCCCTCGCAGCTTCCCGGGCCCTCGGGGCGTGCCCGAGGCCAGCGGGAACCCGGCGGGAGGGGCACCGAGCAGCTGCTCAAAGATGGGGCCCTGAGAGACGGGCCCCCCGATCGAAAGGACAGAAAGAGCGCGTTCTGTGCACGATGGGAGGGAGGGGCCTGCATTGCAGGGGGGGGGCTCGAACCGGGCCCTGCCCCCCCGACCACCCCTCCCTGGTGGAAACCGACCACGGCGAGCGCACTGATAGGATCTATAAAGCATCGGGGGTTGGGCGGGGCCGTTTCGCCCCCCCCCCCAGAAGAGGGGCGGGGGCCGGTTCGAGGGGCCGGCTTCCAGGGGGGGGTGGGGAGCCTCCCGGTTCTTAGGGCGTTTCGACTGTTTTGGAGGCGGGGGCGGCGGTTCCGATGAGTTCAGGGAATTGTTCCAAGCGAGCGTCCACAAAATTCGTCCGTCCAAAGGACGATCGAGACCACCCTGATGCCGATGTGTTTTCTGAGTGCCAGGCGCAAGCAGCGTTCGCCCTTCATCGGCGTCACCCAAACATACTAATACTATGTGTGCGTCGCTCCCCCAGGGGCGACGCGCGCACCGAGACATCTTTTAGAATATGCGTCGTGGCGGGCGCTTTCTGGCCGCACCGCTTGGGAAACGATACTCTACAAGCTGGGTGTACTGCATGTTCGGGTCGGACGCGCGCCTCCCAGGATGACACATCGTCGTCGCGTGCCCGTGCGCGTCCCGCTTCCGGGGGCCCTTCGGCCCAAGAGGGCGCGGCACGAGCGCAGCGGACGAAGCACCCGGCATGTCTCTTCGAGAGCAGTGCAGAACACGCGGGCGGGGCACCGAGCGGCGGCTCTCCGAGGCGAGGGCTCCCTGGGACGGCGGGGCCCCGAGGGTCGGAGGGAACCCCGGGCTCGCGGTCTCGTGGCAGCGCCCGTGTGCTCTGCCTGCTTCTGCGGCAGGTGCGCGTCGTGTCGGCCGGCGGCGGCCCCAGCGCGGGCGTCCGGGGTTGAACGCCGCCTGTGGCCCAGAGTCGGGCCATCCTTGAAGGATCCGGCCTTTGTGAAAGGGCCGATCGTTCAAGGTGGAACGACCTCCGCGGTGTCAGGAACCAAGGCTGGGGTCGACACGGCGCAAACCTGCCGTCGGCCTCCCAGATGGGGTCGGAGCAGATGGGGTCGGAGGATCGCTCGGTATCGTCGATGCATCGGCGATGCGGCTCGATGCGAAGCTCGATTGTTTCCATGCCGACGGCGGCGATGCATCGCGGGCGTCGCCGATACCCGGAGGAGGAAGATGAGGAGGAGGGCGACTGACGGAAGCGGGCGCCCTGCCTCGGTTCGCGCGGCCGACGACGCCCAGCGCCTCGCGCCGCCCCTCGATGCGAAAAAGAAGGGGCCAGAACGGAGGTGCCCCAAGGAGGGAAGGAGGGCCCTGCTGGACGACTTCTAATTACCAGCCGATCATGGGCTGGGAGCGGGGCTTGGGGGAAACAGGAGAGGAGAGGAAGTTTCTCCCCATCTCTTTTCTCCCAGCCCCCCCTCCCTCTCTTCGGTCGGATTTGAGTTGTGTCCACTTTATCTTGCTCTAGTGTTCTGTTGGTCTTGACCCATCGCTGCGATTGCGAAGAGGCGACACCACGACCACCAGGGGGGCCACCTCCTGCGAGGGGGTCCACGATGCCTCTCCGAGCGAGAGGGGGGGAGCAAACCTGCAGTGGGACCGTCCCGGGCGATTCGCGCTGGTGGTGGCGGTGCCGCCGTTCTTTGTCCCTAGAGGATAGAGGCGGATGAAGCCCAGATCTTTTGAGCACATTTAATAGAGCAGGAGCGTGTTTCTTCATTGCTTGGGCCATAGCGCGCGTTATGGCTCCCCCGCCCCCCCCCTATTACGTAACGCTCCCGCACCCAGGCGCCCCAGGCTTTGCCGCCGTGCGCAGAGGGATCCGCATAGGAACCCGCCGAATAGGGTTCCGCATAGGCATCCGCACAGAAATCCGCATAGTGGATCCGCATGGGGATCGCATAGAGATATACATCGGGATCCGCATAGGGAACCGCATTGGTATTCCCAGGGACCCTTATAGAGATCCGCAAAGGGATCTGCATAGGGATCCGCATAGGGGTCCGCGTGGGGATCACACGCCACGTGGAGGCAATGACGCCTTCGCAGGCATGTGCTCGCCACAACTCCTCGTCGCTCTTCGTTGTCGGTCGTCGTCGTCGTCGTCGTCGTTGTCAGTCGTCATCGTCGTCGTCATCGTCGCTCTTCATTGTATGTCGTCGTCGTCATCGTCGACGTCGTTGTCGTCGGCCGTCATCGCTCGCGGTCGCTCGTCGTTGTCAAACGCCTTCGGATGTTTTCGATAGCCTCTGGAGGCCTTCGGATGTCCTCTGGAAGGCCTCTAGAGGCCTTCAGAGGCCTCAGGAGGCCTCCGGAGGCCTCGGGAAACCCTCGGAGACCTCCGGAGGCGACGCTCGTCGTCGTCGTCGTCGCCGCCGTCGTCGTATTCGTCGTCGTCGTCGTCGTCGTGGTCGCTCGGCGACGTCGTCGTGGTGGCAGTCGTCGTCGTCGTCGTGGTCGCTTGGTGTCGTCGTCGTCGTCTTCGTCGTCGTCGTAGTCGCTTGTCGTCGTCGTCGTCCTCGTCGTGCTCGTCGCTCGATGTCGCTCGTCGCCGTCGTCGTCGTCTTCGTGCGCGTGGACGCTGTGGTGGCGCCAGAACCGCACGGCGGCGGGGGGGGGGCTTTACGTTATTAAGTGATACCTCCCCACTGCCCCCCCCCCAATACCGCCTAGTATCGCCAGGAAGAAAGAAACGCGCTCCAGCACGGAGGTGTCTCACCATTTTGGGACTTCGGGGGCCCTCGCTGGGCACAAGGGCCGTCAACGGAAACACATATCAGAATGAAAAGTTGGCCCCAGGGATGGGCTCGGGACTTCTGTGGGCTCGCAGCTGGAAGACAAAAACAACACGTCGGAAGGAGGTGGTATGCCACGGCCGTCTCCTTCTGGCACTGGGGTGGACGGCGAAGGAGGCTGGAGGAAGGATGGATGGCGTAGGGGTACGAAGGAGGAGAACGAGGAGGAGAACGAGGGCCTCCTCCTTTCCGACTCCGCGGAAAGGAGGAGGAGGAGAAGTGGTAAGGAGGAGGAGGAGGACAGGGAGGAGGAGGAGGAGAGGGAGGATAATGAGGAGGAGCAGGAGGAGGAGGTGGAGGAAGAGGAGGACCAGGAGGAGGAGGAGGAGGAAGATGAGGAGGAGGAGGACGAGGAGGAGGGGGTTCAATCCATTTTGGTCCAAGCCATTTCGGCTCAAGGGCCGAAGCCGGCCCTAGTTATCTGCCAACGAGCTGACCGCTCGCATGCATCGAAAATTGTCAGTTGCGAAGTTGAGCCGTTGGGAGACGGCCCCCCAGTGGGTGGTGAAGCAAAGCCGCTGGTAGTGAAATAATGCCAACAATAACACATGCGATACTGCTACGCCGGGGCGTGCCGAGGACATGGTGCAAGTGAGGACTGGGTCAGCGCGTGAGGATTCGGACCCCAGATCGCAGTCGCTCGCGGAGGAAGAGAATGAGGAGGGGGAGGAGGAGGAGGAGGAGGAGGAGGAGGAGGAGGAGGAGGAGGAGGAGGAGCAGGAGCAGGAGCAGGAGCAGGAGCAGGAGCAGGAGCAGGAGCAGGAGCAGGAGCAGGAGCAGGAGGAGCAGGAGGAGCAGGAGGAGGACGCCCCCCCCCCCCCCGTGTACCTTCCGAGAAGGGGAGCAGGAGCAGGAGGAGGTGGGCGCCCTCGGTGCCTAGAGTCCGGCCAGCGTGGACAAAACGAAGGACGCCCTCCCCCGACGGCGCTCGACCTCCCGCGCAGTGCCGGGGGCCGCCCGGGCCCTCTCGGGCGCACGCTCGGCGCGCGGTCTGAGCGGGCGCGGCCGACCTTTTGGCGGCGCCCGCGGAGGGGGGGCGCGGGCTGCTCGGAGCTCTGTGAGAAGGGGGGGAAAGGGTGCCGAGGTGATAGGCGAGCCAGGCGCGCTTGCGCCACATCTGCCCTCCTCGCCTTCCCAGCCCCCCCCCCTTCCCCACGGCGGTGTCTCCATCCGCAGGCGCGTGTCGTGGCCGACGTGGCGCTGCACGAAGGGCCTCGTCGGTGCGATGCGCAATCGGATAAAAGGGGGGCTTCGTGCATAGGAGGAGGAGGAGGAGGAGGAGGAGGAGGAGGAGGAGGAGGAACCAAACACAAAGATGAGGAGGGAGGAGCGCGAGGGGGGAACAGCAGCAGCAGCAGCAGCAGGAACTGGAACGGTGGCAGCGGGGGGGGGGCAGGGGGACCAGACGGGAGCGGGAATGATGGGGGCAACGGCGATGAAAACAGACATCGGGCCCGTAGGAGTTGCCCGCGCTTGGGCGGGAGCGCCATGCTGAACGGCGGGGGCCAATCGCCGATCAGAAAATGAGGCCTAAGCTGCAGCGGCTGCGCCGTTGTGAAAGACGGGGCGAAATCGAGTTGCCGAACAACAGACGAGAGGGCCGAACATCTTCCGGACGGAAAAAGGGGAGAGAAGAAAGCCGTAGACAGAGAGGCAGAGAGACAGAGAGAGAGAGAGAGAGAAAAAAGAGAGAGAGAGAGATACAACATAAATAATAAAACAACAACACATGAAGATAGACAGAGAGGTACCGTGCACGTCGCATGTGCGTTGGCAGAACGGTGAAATGGTTGCCGCTGCCAGTGGCGCTGCTGCGACCCAGTATGTTGCCAACCCGCGAGCGATCAAAACGACGACGACGACGACGACGACGACGACGACGACGGCCTCGACGACGGCCTCGACGGGGCGAGGGCGAAACGAGAGAGAGGGGGCGAAGGGGTCGTCGAAGGACTCGCCCTGGAGCAGCCCCCTCCCCCGGGGCCGCCGCCGCGTGTGCGGGTGAGGCCGCCGGACGGAGCCCACCGAGCGCGAGCGAGTTCCTCCCCCCGCCTCGCTTTCCGTTCGCGCCGCGTGCGCGGGGGGAAACGGGAGGAGTGAGGAGGAATGCGAGCAATTTCTGGCGATCGCAGGCAGGGATCAAGGGGGCGTGCATTGATTAGCGACGGGCCCCGTTTCCATGGGGATCGCGGGTTTCCGCCGCCGAGCGAGGTAGCACCAGCCGCATGTGGGGGAGGGCACCGCCCCCGAGCCATGGATTCGGCGACCGCGCGCCAAATCCATGGATCGCTAATCCATGTTTGCGCGCCCCCGATAATTGGTTGACTGGTGTATGGGGTGGCGGTGTAACAGAAGGTGGGGGCACTTACGTTTTTGTACCCTCCAGTGTGGACGTCCTCGTCGGCCGCGTCCCGCCAAGCAACATCGAAGCCGTGCAGCAAGTCTGCCTTCTGGAGCACAGTGCGGTGCCCCCCCAAACGGCGCGGCTGCAGCGCCATCATCAACAGGCCATCGGCCATCAAGGTACCGTCGGACAGCCCTCCGGAAAGGACTATTGCAGGTGGGTGATTTGTTATGAGCGAGCGTGCGCGCAACATTTTTTGTTGCAGTGGATGGTTGGTTGGTCGAACTCGGACGGGCTGAGGTCCGATGAGCTCAAGTTAAAACATGTACGATGGGGTATAATAATCTGTCAAGTGAGCATCCCAAGGAGAGGCGAGAGTCCCCGCCTCAGGATGGTTGTGGACCCTCCTTATTCTTGAAGAATAGAGAATCTACGTGGTGCAATCTTGATTAAGCAAATTATGTGGTGGGATCTCTTTGGTGAGATGCCATGTGTTGCAATCTATCCGGTGCAATACGGTAAACATTTCTGGTGCGCTGCAATCGATGCTGAGCAATCTACGTGGCGCTAAGTGTGAGGCGCAACAAAGCAGCGCCAAGCAGTGCCAAGCAGTGCCAAGCAATGCGAGGCAACGCAAAGCAATGCGAAGCAACGCGTAGCAATGCAAAGCGGGCGGCGACGAGGCTGCGGGCGGCGACGAGGCGGCGACGGCAGCCACCTGGCGGCTAGAGCGGCCCGCAGGCCCAGGCAACGGGCACCGACGAGGCGGCGACGGCGGCCACATGGCCGCCAGAGCGGCCCGCATGCCCATGCGACGGGCGGCGTCGAGGCGGCGACGGCGGCCACATGGCGGACAGAGCGGCCCGCATGCCCAGTCTGTTGGAAAAGAAGCATGGACCCGTATGTGCAAGAGCAATTGTCTAGGGCAGTGCAAGCATTTGAATGTGGGGTCTGCTCCTTTCCTCTTTGAATTCTCTCAGGTGGATCACACGCAACTCAGTTGAGGTCTCTTTGGCCTCTTCTGCGTATTCCCATACCTATACCTGGCAAAAGCGGTGGGACGACGATATATGGAATTTCCTGCACAGTTGGGACAGCGACGGAGGAGGGGAACAACTCAGGGCAGCCGCCGAACCTACGCAATACGATCACAACAACACGGACGACCT